TTAAAGACAGTCTCATCCATTCACCCAGGCTGGGAGTGCAGTGGCGTGATCTCAGCTCATTGCAACCTTCACCTCCTGGCTCAAGCAATCCTCCTGCCCCAGCCACCAAAATAGCTGGGATTACAAGTGCATGCCACCATGCCCAGCTAATTTGTATATTGTCATCAGAGATGGTGTTTTGCCATGTTAGCCAGGCTGGTCTTGAACTCTTGGCCTCGAGTGATCCACCTGCCTTGGCTTCCCAACATGCTGGGATTACAGGCGTGAAACATCATGCCAAGCTTCCTCGTCTGTTCTTAACTAAATGGTAACTTCCTGTTGCATGTACTCCCTGTGAAGTCATATCGACTTAGGTGTCTTAAAAGGAGCAGGGACCACTGATGTACTTTTAAAAGGACTCAACTTTAAAGAATTTAAAACTATACCCAATTTTCAGAAACCATTAACTGTTTAAACCATAATACTTTGTTTGCACTGAACAATACTATAATGTGGTTACTATACTAACCACTATTTTTTTTTTAACCAAACAACATTTACCTAAGTGGGATAAATACAAAAGAATACCACAAAACAGCATAACCAAGAAAACTGGAAACAATTTACATGCTCATGAAGGTTATCTCACATTTTAACCGTTTTGGAAGTAACCATCAGAACAGCTTTACGACTGTGTTGAGGTAGGTGCTTTCAATCTGTGGTATTATTAACAATTTCAGATTAAATCCCCTGCCAGTGATGATTCTTCTCATACAACAAAACTTCTGTTACTCTAATACAACTGTTCTCACAGTGTGGCTCCAAAGCAGTGGCATCAGCTTCCCCTGGGCATTTGTGAGAAGCAAGTCAGGATCCAACCCAAACTTACCGAATCAGAAACTCTGGGGATGGGTACAGCAATCTGCATTTTAACAAGCTCTCTAAGTAAAAGACAAATTTTGAGAGCCACTGACTTAATATAATTTGTGCCTCTGCTATTCTAAAATTCTTAAAAGAAAAAGCTCATTAGAAAATAGTATTCTACAAATGGTCCCAAGGGAACCAGAGAGAGCATTTCAAACAGGACTCTACACAAGGGTGTAATATCTGATCATGCCTGCCCACATCAGGTTTGGCGTAGAGTTTCACACGACATGTTCACGTTGAGCCAGCCGTGTTCTAGGTGATCAGCAACAGGCACACCCAGAAACTGACACTGTGAGGTCCTTTACTCATCCCACATCTCTAGAAAAGAGAAAAAGGGACTAGAAAAAAAACAAGGAAAGAGGAGTATTTGTGTGGAAATGTGAACAATATGAGCTAAAAACATCATGTTTAAATATATTCACTAGACGGGCGCGGTGGCTCAAGCTTGTAATCCCAGCACTTTGGGAGGCTGAGGCGGGTGGATCACGAGGTCAAGAGATCGAGACCATCCTGGTCAACATGGTGAAACCCCGTCTCTACTAAAAATACAAAA